TTTCGTTTTCGTTCGTTTCGTTTTATCCAATTTTATATTTTATTTTAATGCTCTCTCTCTATGGAATTTTGTTTTCAATTAGAATTCGATTTGCTTTTGCTGTTGCTGCTGCTGCAGTTGCTGTTGCTGCTGTTGCTGCTGCTCCTGTGCAGAGCTCCTCGCTGCTTCAGTCTTTGAGCTATTTTTTATTTATATTTTGCTTCATTTTTCTTTTTGTTTTTGGCTTTGGTCTACCAAAGGGCATGGGCATGTTTTATTAGTTTGTTTATTCGGGTTATACACACACACATGTAGCAAATTGTTGGCCCCGGTTGCCATAGACCTGCAGAAGACAGTAGCAGACAGGTCGCTCGGTCGCTCTCTGTCTCTTTCCCTCTATGCCGCGCTCTCTCGCTCGCTCTTACTCTACCGCTAAGCTATTACCATGCCTATTGCTTCGTGATTTTCGCTATTAGTTTGTTTATTTAAAGCGCTTTTAGGGCGGCAGTCAAAGCGACAAACGGCCAGAGAGACAGTCATTCGTATATTAGGTTCAACTGACATCCGCTTTTACTTCTGGCTTCTAAACATACCAAAACATTACCTTCAGCTGCTTGCATTTTCATTGGGCGCTACAACAGGTTCTATGAGGTCTATCGATATTTAGAGAACGCGGGTATGCGAAGATATGTTGAGATATGATAATAAAGATGTAAATTAAATTAATTAACTAAGATATTCATCAAGCTACTTTCTTAGAATGGAACTGCCTTTTATAGTATTTACATAAAGCTTTAGTTATCAAACTCATCCTAGTTCATAATTGACTAAAATTAACTAACTATTCGCATCATATAGAACTGCACTTTTTCAGTCTATAGGCATATATAATATTACAAAATCGATTTATCTTTGGATACTGTTCAAGGTAATACATCAAACATATATATATACATCTACTCTACATGTTAGACCCCAAAATCTGCATTAAAGTAAATTATGTTAAATCAAATTAAATTTTTCTGTCATGTGCATATTTTCAATCGTAACAGCCATTAAAAAATTATTTCGACTTTAAGTAGTTTTATTAACTTTGCCATTAACTTTAACCAAGCGCGCTCAGCGTTCACCTTGGCCGTGCATGAAAAGCCAAAGTCGTTTGCATTAAAATCATATTTGCAGGCTTTCGCTGTAGCTGGTATGCTCTATGCTGTTGTTGTTGTTATTAATATGACTGTTGCTGATGAAAACAGTTAGAATTGCGTGTGGCAACACCCAGCGACAACCCACTGCGAACAGTGTTGGCAGCTGTTGAGTTAAGAAATAAGTTGGATTCTGGTTAAAAGTTGGCTAAAACAGGCCAAGATTTATGGGTTCATTTTTAAAAGACACAAGTAACATATAGGCTAGAATTTTCTCTAAAGTTCACCTTTAAGTATTTTCTTCAAGTATTCTCTCTAATTATGTCCCTTAAGTGTTTCCGTTAAGTATTTTCTCTGAGTATCTTTTCTAGGTATTTTTTCCAAGTATTTCCTCTAAATATTTGCTCTAAATATTTCCTCAAAATATTTCCTCCAAATATTTCATCTATGTATTTCCTCTAATTATTTGCTCCAAGTATTTCCTCAAAGTCTTTACTGCTGAGCTGAGCGATCATTGAATATCAACACACACTTCACTTCACTTTACTGCTTTGCACGACTGACCCCCAACAGGCCTGAGAGACTGAAGAAGTGCTTCAGCTGCTGCCCTTTATATAGGGCAATTGTAGAGCCCGACGCCAGGTAGAGGTCGTTGCAGTCGATCATTAAGTGACGAATGGGAACACTCTCTCATTCTAGCTTCGGTTTACCTAAACACCGAATGAGTACAGCTGCATACATATAGACAACGTAAATGATCGTGTGTAGGTCTTCTTCGTTTGGCAGAAAGACTGGAGAGACAGGAGTTTCTTCTGTTCTATAGTTCTCTCAAGGCTAAATCTAGCCTGAAATAGGCTATGTCAGCAACACTGATTGCGAAAGAGCTTTGAGTGGAAAGACACGCACATAATTGGCTGCCAGCATAATGGATTCACGTGCCAGTTTGCCTGTCTGGCAGCACTGGCTGCTGCTGCTGCCGTTGCCGCTGCTGCTGCTGCCATTCTTTTTCTTTGCCCTTTTTCGCCTGCCTCTTGCATATGCAATAGCTAAATGACAAACGCAGCGCACATGCCAGAGTGAGACAGAGACAGTCGCATATGCATTCGTCAAGTTGGAGGCACTCAACAATTAGCACGCACCACAGCGCAGGCAAGTCGACACATAAGAAGAGAGCAGCCGCATGGACAGGCCCGTTAAGCTGTGCTAGTAAAGAAATGCGTGCGAGAGGGAGGCGGGGTGAACATTGCGAAATCGAAGACACAGCAGCAATTCGAGTTTGATTGTTGTCATAAAAAAAGGACATAAAGCAAAAAAGAAAAAAAAAAAGACTTGACTGGAATGTGCGTGCGTTGGCGAAAATGTTTTCCTTCAACTAGCTGAAGCGCAGCTAGTCGAAAAACAGCAACAGGAGCTGCCTCAATGTCTGGGCTGTTAATTGCAGTTGCTCCAAAGGGTTCAATAACTCGGCTGTTGATTGGCAACCAAGGCAGCTAGGCGAGTGTGTGAAAGTGTGGGTGAGCGCGTGTGTGATTGTGTGGGTGTGCGAGCGGGAGTGGGAGGGGGGGAGTGGGAGCGTGGGCAGCGGATGAGCCAAACAGGCAGTTAGCCAAGTTTAAGGCCCATCACGATAATTGTTATTGTTGCCTGCGTTCAATGAACTAGACGAGGACAGCAACAAGTGCAAAGCAAGTACAAGGATTTCTTAATGATATAACGGTAATTGAGTAAGCGGAACAATGGGCAGCGTTGTAAAAGGAATTGCATGCGCTTTTTGTGGAAGAAGAGCCTCGCAAAGAAAGAGACAGAATGAGATAGAAGGGGGATATGGATATCGAAAGAGAAACAAGGAAAGATCATGACAAAGAGAGAAAAAAAATGAATTACTTAAAGGGAGAGATAGAGAATAAAGAGAGCGAGAATGATGGAGAATTAGAGAGTGATATTGGTAGAGAGAGAGAGAGAGAGAGGGAAAAGGGTAGAGTGATAGAAGGAGAGAGAGAGAAACCGAGAGAGACAAAGAAAGAGGTTCATAGTGATCAGGAATCTAAAAGCCTTCTTCTCCGAGTCCAATATATGAACTAGTTCCAACAATAGCCACACACAAAAGTCAGTTCATTTTCAGCTAATTCCAAGTTTGTAAAATTTGCTTGCTTTCTCCTTCCGCTTGCTCTTCCTTGTGGCACTTACCACCAGTTGCACTTTGAGTTTTCTTTTCTGCCGCATTGCTCAAGTGTTGCGCAACAATTTTTATTTTCAAGTTTAAAGTTGCAAAAGTTGCATAAACTTTTGCAAATTGTTGGCCATTGCATTGCGCCGTTGGTTTATTTAATGCCATTGTCATTGATAGGCCACGTCCTTTGGACCTACGCCGCCCCTGCCGCCCGCCACGGGGTTAACCGAAGCTCCTGTTGTTGACATCCTTTTGGGCCATTAATTTTTCAGACTTTTGCATGTTTCAAAAGCTTGGTTAAATTGTTGTCTCGTTGCTGCCCTGCGCCACAGATAAAGACTGCAGCGCGGCTTCAACCTTTGACCCCGTGCGCGCACAACTCCCCCCCTCCTGCACTCGTCTGTCAACCTTGGCGATATTTTCACTTTCGCTTTTTGCTTTACTCTGCACGCGCTCATTATCTCAATTGTTGCTGCTGTTATTGTTGTTTTTGTTTCTGTTGCTTTTTCTTTCTTTTTTTTTTTTTAAATAATTATGGCGCGCTACTGCAATTGTCCCTGACCAAGCTCACACACAGACACAACACACACACACACACACACACACACACACACACACACACAGAGACACAATCGCATAGTAGAAAAGAGTTGATAAATTGTGCAGAAAAATTGCGTGGTAAACAGAGATAGATAGGGAGGGAGCGAGCGAGGGACTACTATGTGGTGTGTGCTATTTATACACACATACACACACATCTGTGTTTGTGTGGCATCATTAGCTTTTCGCTGTTCTTCCTTGGCCCTCAGCGCTGGCCGAGCAATTTAATCAACCAGGCAGCGCGCAGAAAAGCTGATAATACCGTTATGAATAATTTACAGCAAACAAAAGCATTTACACACGCACACACACACATACACATACACATACACAACTATGTAGACGCGCTTTATTATTGTTTTACTTCTCTCTGGGCTTATGTATAATTAATAATGCGACTACAAAAGGAACCAGACCAAAAACAATAACAAATTTAATAAATGGAAAATAATGAACAGCCATGGAATACCCTATGACTAGCATATTCCTGTATATAAATATGGATATATGTACACATTTGGGGAAATTTGAAAAGGTCTAAGTTAATCGTTTTTATTTCTGAGGTCGTGAACTACTGGTTCATCTGTGCAGGATTCCAGAATTTAGTTCTTCACTCGAATGTAATCAACGACTTATAAGCAGCTGAACTACTCCATAGAACTTATCGTTTAGCAATAAGTAAATAAAATAAATTTCTTTTGTATAATCAAATAACTGTAATGGGATTATATATCATAATTGACTGATCGCTGAGCAATTTCCGTATTTGACTGTAAATATTGATGTTCAAAAGAAATTATACCAAATTCTATATATTAATAGATCGGTTACCATAGTAGTAATTTAATATTTTAGAGAAAATAAATATGGATTTGTAAGCCCGTTATAATAAGGTATAGTAAAACCTGTCAATATGTGGTTTGATTAAGTTAACATACAGAAACATAATACTCTGTATGCAATTAAGAGAATTAAGATATCGTAGATATGCCTATGGCCTGTTGATACGATAAATTTATAGAAGGGTGTAATCAATTTAGAACATATGCTTTACACTGATATGAGTATACTCTTTGCTAGGGTATTACAGGTGTGGTTGCCTTTGGAGGTAACTTTCGCATTCGCATTCGCAGATACAACTCCTTTAACAAAGGAGGTCATTTTAATTAGATGCGGCAACCTGTTGCGGTTCCTTGCTTCAATGAGGAGGTGTGGAGATTGCGGCTATGATTTCTTTGTGTAAACAGGCTGTGTCTCAATTGAAGCCACAGTCTCATGTCAAAAGCAATGCCTGCTTCTGTCGGCGCCGCAAAAATCTTGAATGCGACGCCTGCGGTTATGCACCACGTGGGTAGATGGGTAGGGAAAGAGCCGCCCTGGTCGATGCCTCGATTGACCGCAGTCAATTAGAGGAACAGCAGCAAAAACCGCCAACACATTAGCTTGACATTTATCGCTTAAGCATAAACATATATTTTTTGGTATTCCTTCACATAGACTATAGGAAGAGTAAACTAAACAGACTTATGTAAATACGAGAAGCAAACATCTCAATCAGCTAAGACTAGTTAATAATTCTATTCTAGGAGCTGATCTAGTTATAGTCGACTGTCATGATTTCGATTATTGTTTCGACCTCCAACTGCATTAGTAGCTCTCAAATGTTCATCAGCTTGCACTAGCTTCTTCTGTTTTTCGCGCCGCTGATCTAGTTCGCGTGAACCGCCAAAGTTTTGAACGTCTGCTTAGGCCAGCCAGTTCGCTCCCTTCAGTCTGCTTCAACAGCTCATTCTTGGCACTGACTGTTGTTGGCGATGGCTCCGGAACTAGTTCCGTTGTGTTGAGTATTTGTGCGACGTGTGCCTCGTCGATTGTGCCCTTAAAAATCAAAGGATATGGCCACTCATGGCATATGGTGGGTCCACCGTAGTCCCGCAGCGCCTCGATCAGCTGATCCAAGCGCTGCACCTCGGCGTAGTCGTCGTTCAGGCATCTCACCTCATCCAGCAATGCGGCCACATTCGATTCGAGCACCTGCAATAACACCCGCAAGAGGTGCGATTGAAAATTAGATTAAAACTTAAATCGCTTAGTTTGCTCGATTTGCGACAAGGTGCGAGACGCGAGAAGCGCGACGCCTGGCACGGTATCAAATAACACCGTTACGCTCTTTGATAGCCCCGCGCTGGAGGCCTTAAATAGGTAAGAGCCAGATAGATAAGAATGATCGACGAGTAGATGGCCTCTAAATGGGGCTGTCCTTCAATTCTGTGTTTACTTTTCGAATTGGTTTTTAAGGCCTTTAAGACTGCGATTCGAGTATATTCATATTGAAACGCTTTCAATGATAATAATAATAATGATGATAATAATAGTAATAATTATAGTAATGCTCATAATCAGTATTGTAGCATTATATAAGAATTCCTACTAATGATAAGGATGATTAAAATAAAAATAATATTGAATATAACGAAAATATTGACTGATAATATTGACAACAGCAATTGCAGTATTAATAATCTCTGATTATTTTAAGCTACATCTACTTGGCTTTATTCTACCCCAACATCCCTCATCATACTAACACACTAACCCATATAAATTAATTACACGGTATGACTCTGGCATATGCATTCATCGTTGACAGCTCGGGTTTCCGTTAGCTAAAATCTATGCATTTGCCACCTGCTACTATTCGCCTTTCAACTATTAGCTGCCAATTAGCAAATGCTCTGAACCACGCAAACTAAGCTCCATGTCAAAAAGCATGTCAGCCAACGGCCACGCCCCCTATCACGCCCACTTACAATGGGTCAGATAATGACGATTGCTAGGCAAATGAGATATATGCTAAATATATTTCATTATTATTAACATTATGAAATCTCTTTCTCATAGTTTTGATGACCCAAAAGACATTTCAAGATCTTGTCGTCGTTGCAAAATTTATGCGAATCATCTTGATAATTGCCCATTGTCTAGACAAGCAGCCGAACCGAGTCTCAGAGTGTGTTCCATATTGTGTTTAGTTGCACCCAGTGGCCAGCTATAATTGCATTAACTTGTACGAAATCTGTGTCGCAACTGTTAACAATTGAACTGAATTCGAATGCAGCTGCAACGAGGGGAACTGTATTACCAGAGGGACAGACAGACAGAGAGAGAGAGAGAGAGAGAGAGGGGGGAGGGAAGGGGAGTAAAAGGTGTTGAGTTAGTGGTGTTTGCGTTTATGACACTTTACAGCTGCTGATAACATTTAATAACTGATAACTGGAAGCTGAAGTGAAAGCCGAGTTACGATAACGGCATGCCACATGTGAATTAAAACAAGTTAGTGTTTTCTATTAAGAGTAAACGACCAGCAAATACCCTATGTTAAGTTGTGCGCATGGATGAAAGGTCAAGCGATTTCAGCTGTCCTCTTGTATTTGTCTTTTAATTGAATTCAATTGACCTTAATTACAAAAAAGGTTGTATATTATGATCAGGTTTCATGTAACCTATATTGAAATGCAGTATGATATCATCTAAAGTATTCAATGCATTATCAAATTAATCATTTCTATCAACAAGTAATATAAGTATATAATCTACGCAATTCAATCAAACTAATTACGAAGGAAATTATTAACATATGTTTTTATATAACGCTCCTGACTAGAGTTTTTCCTTACAATAGTATCTATGCACTTCAATGTGTTACGAAATGGAATTCAAATTCGGAATACCTCTTGGTAGGGTATATTAATAAATAAATAGTTGACATGTCTGCCGGTTTGTGTCATATCAATTGTCGAGAGCTTTCAACAACAAATGTTATTTGACATAAACTCACACACACACTCTCTCTCTCTCTCTCTCTCTCTCTCACCCGCCCTCGCGCGTTGTCTCTTTCGCATGACTTATGCACTCGACATGTGACACGAATTACACTTTATGCGCTTTTTCAAGCATTTTTTTTTTGTTTTTTGTTTTTTTTTGTTTTTTGCTCTCTTCAATTACCAAAAATTCAATGTGCAAATTAATAACACAATTTAATATTTGACAAACGCGTCCGCGTAAGCTCTCAACGCTGCGCAGCAGCTGCCGTCGATTGGGCGGCGGCGACGTTGTGGGCATGGTCAGCAGTGCTGTGTGTGTGTATTCCTTGACTAACGGCAGCCACTGTGCCGGCGCAGTTCTCCAAGTTGATTTTGCTTTCCGTTTTTACATAGCGCTAATTTTAAACATTTTTGTAAAATGTGTTTTTGCTTTTATTGTTGAATGAAACTCGCGGCCGCTCGGGCTCAGCGCTCGGCGTTGACTGGCCAGCGGATTGCTTAGCGGCAATGCGACGCTACAGATACAGATATATGTATAGGTATATATATGGAAATATATATATTTGTAGGTTTCCAGCTGCCCCGCCGTAGGCACTTGTCGCACTTATTGTTTACGTGCGTCAATCAGCAAGAGAATTGAGCAGAGAGACAGCAAAAGCCAAAGAAAGAGAGTGTGGGAAAGAGAGAGAGAGAGAGAGAGTAAGTGAGCAGTAGTGAGAGCTAGGGCGTGCGTAATATAATTAGCTAAATAACTTTATTTTCATTTAGCCGCCGCCTCAAAGTATGTATGTATGTGTAAATTGCACTTAAGCTCAATTGCTTAAAGCAGAAATCGAATTAAATCAGAACAGGAAAATATGTATTCTATCAGATTTAGCTTTATGTAGTTCATGATGAATGAGTAAAAGTTAACTTTGATTAGAATTAAAGATATATTGCAAAAACTATGAGTCAAATGTTCATAAAACTACTCAAAGACTTGTTTTGTTATATTGAACTTAGGTAAAATCTGTCGTATTCACGTGCAGCTAAAAGTATGCAAACTTTCGTATTCATCCGTATTCATGTGCCGCCTGAGTGTATGCAATGATTTTTGATCAGCTCTGTGCATGCACCTTGCGAGCCGAAGCGCACAGCGCGGTTGCTTAGCCATTGTTTGGGCCAAAAGCCAGAGCCAGAGTGAGAGCCGAAGCCAAAGCCAAAGCCAAAGCCAGAGCTAGAGGTAGAGCCAAAACAAGCGTCAGCTGCTGTCCATTAAAATTTTAATTTTGTGCACCATTTGCCATCTTAACTGGCCCCCGCTCGCACACACACACTCGCACACACCTACACAATGGCATGCAAATCCCTTGGCTTGAGCGATTATGTTGATGTTGATGACTGGCTGGGGTGGCAGGAGGCAGGAGGCAGGTGGCAGGTGGCTGTTGGGCGGCAGCTTACCCGCAGATGGCAGCGTCGCTGCCTTCGTCGATAATACGCTCAATTCAATTTGCATATTCAGTTGTCCAATGAAGCGCACAGCAACAACAGGAGCAGCAGGACGTGGGATCTGCGATCCGTTTCTGCCAAACAAATGCGTTTTTTGCCAGCCTCGTTGGCCACTTGCAAGYAGCAGCAGCAGCAACTCCAAATGTGTTGCTGACAGCTGAAGGCACGCATGAGCTGAGATCCAAGAGCAACAACAAGTACAGCTACAGCTACAGCGGCAGCAGCAGCAACTACTGCATCTCCACTTGCTCTCACCTGCTGTTAGTCCATTACGCTAGCAATTTAACTTGCGCCACGTAAACATGATTATCATCTTGAGTGCAACGTGTGGATCCTGGAAACAACCCATTTCCTTCTCTATGCCACCTTTATACTGCCTCTATCCACCTGTGCGTGCAATTGAAGTCAATGTGGGCCAAGGATTGGGATCGGGATTGGGATTGGCATTGGGATTGGGCTTGCGCTTGGGTTTGCTGCTGGCAACTGCATAAGCTGAAGCTATTAATGCTCGCTTTGTTGCTCGCTGCACTGCACACTCGACGAAAATGATCAGTGAGTCGCACTTGAGGCAAGTTAAAGGATTCTTAATATTACTCCAAAAATGAGAGAGACCGATTGGTGGGAAAGGAGAGTAGAGATAATTAGATTTAGCAGGAAACATTGAACATTTTTGTATACCCTTTATATATTGTAAATTATTATCTGACTTGCGTCTGATCTGATTTAAGTTGATATAAATTTACTTTATCTTTGCTTTGAAATGATTAGCTTGAAGAAAATATGCAAGTAATTTTTTATTTAAAAATAAAGTCTATATAAACCTTTATTATAATAATACAAGCTTACCTAAAATTGATTCCAAAATCTAAGATGAATATATCTTAATCATATCAATCACCCAGTTAATTTCTTCAAGTGCATTTGCTGTTTTTGCTCAACAGCTTTTGCTCCTCTGGCTGAACTGTTTAACGGCGCTGCAATCTGCTTAAAAGTGCAATTAATTTAATATCGTTGAATGCGCTGCAAAAACTACCAAGTCCCCAAGAAGCCAAGCCCCAAATCCAATCTCAGCCCCAAAATCTGAATGCATTTAAGCGCTCGCCTCTAATTGAGCTTGTCAAAATCAGCTGCAGTTGGGCTTGGCTGCCAGCTCGACATAAGACACAGACACACATACACACTTGGCAGCGTTTGGTAGAGGTTTAAGCAGCGAGTGCCAGTGGCCACTGTACACTGTTGCCTCAAGTCACGCACAGCAACGCCCACCTAAAATTGTGCGTCCTAGCAGGTGGCAACGGGGCACGAGCAGGAGTCGAGGGCTGCAGCAGCTACCCGAAAAATGACAGTGCAGAATTTCAACAGCAGCTTGATTAATTTGGGGGCGTGTATATGCTTAAATTTGTGGGCGTGGCTGAAATGAAGCAACACCATTTTAATATGAATGCCACAAAACGAGTTGGGCTGCTGCGACACGACGACGACAAAAAAGGCAAACGACAACAAGGGAGGATCAACGAGTAGCAACGGGATGCCAGGTGGGAAGGGGAAGTCTCAAAATTTATATTGAATAAGTTAAATATATAAATCTATTTATGTAACATTATTAATTATATTACGTTTATGGCATGGAAGTAGTTTACAGGGTATATGCTAGTCGATTTTAAGCTCGCACTTATAGTTGTGGTATATTGAAAATTATAGACAATATGCTCTAGTCCCAGCTTACATCTGCTTTACAGGGTATTTGTTAGTTGCCTTTTGGCTTTGCCATTTAAATATAAAATACGTACGCGGCTAGGTCAGATGCAGACAAACACAGATTTAAATAGACACACTCACGTACACAGACAGACACCAGGAGAGAGAGGGAGAGAGAGAGAGAGGGAGTGATGGACAGAGACAGACAGACACACGCATGGATAGACAGATGAACTGGTATTCAAATAGAGGACCTCACAAAGTAGCGTTGACAAACCCATTATCAGAAAAACAAACCGGAGATTAACTTGGCAAAATGTCTGTAGACGCCATAAAAACTGAGAGGTGCTGAGAGAAGAGACAGAGAGAGAAAGAGAGAGAGAAAGAGAGAGAGAGAGAGTGACTGAGAAGAAGAAAGAACTATACAGCCCGCAAAAGTTCGAGAGAGATAGCGAGAGCAGGAAATCCACAAGGGCAGGCAAATGTTAAATAAAATATGAACATTGCACGCATACATATACACATATAAATGTGTATGTATAGAATATATATATACGCATATGTCCTGGCAGCACTGCAAAAGTGACACATGAGCATAATAACAGCTAAGACCTTGCTAAGCATCAGGCAGTCAACAACCACTTGCCACAGCAGCAGGCAGCATCGAGGCGGCAGCAGCCAGGGGTAAGGATCCGGAAACAGTAGCAGGAGCAGGGCACATGACCGGACAACCCCCTTTTTTGGGCAATGAGTCGTCCTCGTCGTTGACGACGTAGACGTCGACGTCGCTGTCGCCGTTGCTGTCGTCGCCGCTGCACTCAACGTGATTGCAAATTATAACGTCTGAGCAATCGCCGGCAGTTGTGTGTGCAAGAGGCGGACCTCGAAATACCGCCCATAGGAAATATAATTCCACGGCACGGTCTCTCTGCCTATGACTACGGCAGCGGGTGTCCGGCGTACGGTGTTCGGCAAACGGCGTAGTCAGAATTTGGTGCACGCACTGCCACGTCTCGTGGTGGTTGGCCAGACGAGCTCTGCAACGGATGAGAGCAGTCGAGCTCTACTGGCAACTGGTTGGTTGTCGCTTGGTTGGTTAAACTCCTGCCTGCCTGCGTGCCTGCCCTTTGCCGTCTGCTGCCGCGCCCTCAGCTCGGGCGCCCATGCACGTTTCCTGCCGTCGCTCGAAGTTTAGTTAATGCTGTTACCATTTACTCTGTTTTCTTTTTGTTGTTGTTTTCAAAATAACTTAATTATGAATTGGCTGCAAATTGCTGCAAAATCTCTTTTACACACTTTCAAAATGGCTGCCATTGAATTTTAATGCCAGCCTAAAAGCATGCAACAGTTTTTATATCATCGAGTTTATATACTCAAGTGCATTGTTTTTGCAGTAAGTTTAGATTAGATAAGTGAATCATATTTTGAAGATCACCGGGGCTTACTTAAGGTAAGCACGAATAGATTGTAGCGTGCCTAAATTGTTGTCAATTAAGGTCATACTTGATTGAGCAATTTACATTGTTAGTTTCTAACTTCTGCTTTACCAATTAGACTTATGAACTTCCGGTGAACACGCACTTAAATAAACAGCAAGTAGCCAAAAACATTTTCATATATTAGATACTACCCGAAACCTGCCTTAAATTAATTTATAAAATATCTTCTTTAACTTTATCTGTGATAGTAACATCTGCTTCACTTCCATAGCTCTCTCAGAAAAGTTGCTCTAACAGTTAACTTCAATTAGGAAATTTCCAGCCTGACAACTTACACTTGAGTTACGCCGTAATACGATTAATCTCTCTCAACTACCATCAATAAAACTCCCAGCTGTAGCCAATTCACCAATCCACATAAAGCCCAACTCATCACTTTTGCATTTGTTATTAACCCATTTGATGCCAAATGATTTAATTGAATGCGCCTCACACACTCTTTTTATGGCCAAAAATAATGCTAGGACATGAACATCCTTTACTACCACATATTACTAGTTGTACTGTGGATGGAGTATGTATTTTTTTTATTTTTATAGCATTCGAGAGACGATGTTCTGGGCACGTGGCAACGCGGAATTTCTTGCTTTTCAGGCGCAAGGTCAAGGCGGGCCATTGTAACCCATTGCTCAGATACACAGACACACACACACACGCATACACATGCACAAAACCGACCACACACACGCCCACCCTCTCGGAGGCAGCTACAACTAAATCCTTTTTGATTAAATTCAATGTTTTATATCCAATACGTTGGGCGGGTTGCCTGGGCTGTGACTATAGTCTTTTGGTCATGTTAACATT